TCTCTCCTTGCAACATGTCCAAAGTATGTCAGACGAAGCCCCAGAATCCTTGCCTCCAAGGAGTACCTGGTTTAACCCTCTCCAGGATGAATCTGTTTGTTTTCTTGGCAGTCCATGGTACATTCAGTACTCTTCTCCAGCACCACAGCTCAAAGGCGTCAATTCTCCTTCTATCCTCCCTAGTCATTGTCCAGCTCTGTGATGCATAACAAGTGATTGCAAAGACCATGGCCTGAATCAGGCACACCTTCGTCTCCAAAGAGACACCGTTGCTCCTCAGTACTTTAGAGAGGTCCCTAATAGCAGACTTTCCCATCGCAATATGCAGTATGTACAGTAGTACTTAGTTATGTGAAATGCAGTGTATGTGAGCAGTTGTATAAAGCACATTGTACATGGACAAAACACAGTGTAAATAAAAGGTTATATAAAACACAGTGAACATGTATGGGAAAAGTAAACATAAAGTGAGTAATTTAATACATGAAAAGTTTCTCTGCCTGTGAACTAATACCGTATTTTTATGATTTTACCAAAACCACTGCCCTCAAGTCAGATCTGAGCCTACATGGTGACCTTTCATCCGGTTCCACTGCCCTCAAGTCAGATCTGAGCCTACATGGTGACCTTTTATCCGGTTCCACAAATTGTAGATCTTTCTGGGAGCGGACTGTCCATCCTGCTCCCTCTGAGTGACTAGTTGAGTAAAACAACCCACTACCTTTTTGGTTAACAGCCCAATACATAATGCTCTGTGCCACCAGGCCAGCTTTCTACATGCCACATTGTATATAACCAGTGGATAAGAGTAAAGAAAATGGTAACTAGCTGAGACAAATGTCTACATTTATGTCAACCCATTTAATCCTGGTAGTTACAGGTAGGATAGTTTTTAAAAATATCCATTGAAAAACGGTTGGAACACAGAGACATTTGTGAAATTGCCCAATATTCTATACCTAGTGACTTGCAGGCGTAGCATTTGAACCTAGGCAGTCTGCTCCAGCATCCTCAATGACTGCTGCTTTATAGCAGGTAGGAAACCTAGATTCTTGTCCTAATTCTTTTAGAAGTTGGTATTGGGCCAAGGACCTTAGAACTGAGACACAAAAGGAGATTTGTATATTAGTGTTCATAGCAGAATTATTCACCCTCATAAGAACATGGAAACAGCCCAGATGTCCAACCACAACTCAACTGATTGAGAAATTGTGGTACATTCACACAATGGAATACTATGCAGCAGTCAGGAATGCTGATTTTGAAAAACACTACGTAATTTGGAAGAGATTGGAGAGCATTATGCTGAGTGAGCTAGCTCAGTCTCATAAAGACAAATACTGAATAAGACCATTATTGTAAAAATAGAAGGATAACTAGTAAAACATGTACGGGGACCCAAGGGGGAAAGAGTGGGAGCAGAGGGGTGAGGATGAGTAGGGACAAAATAATAGAGTTGCACAGTTTGGTGGGTGGAGGAAGGGAGTAAAGGAAATGGGAAAGATCTGGTGGGGACCTAATACGACAGGGTAGTTAATGGTGGTCATAGTCCAATGGTAATTAAATTCATAAAGCATAATGCTTGGAATGATTGAATGAAACACAATGGGAATGAAAGAGTAGTATGAAACACAATGTATACAAACTGTAAGCAAAGCAATATAAAATATTTTTTTTAAAAAAAGAAGTTGGTATTACGATGTGTAACTCAAAAATAAAGTGTAAGATAAAAAAATAAATCAGGGTTGTTGCTTTGTGCTCTTGAATCAGAACCGACTGATAGTGGACCCTCCACCAGATTTTCAGAGGCTATAAACTGCGCAAGAGGAGATTGCCCATCTTTCTCCTAGGTAGCTGCTGGTGGATTCAAACTGCATGAGTTTGAGTTGGCAACACAACACCTTTCCATTAAGCCACTAGAGCAAACTCAAATGTGTGTTGCCTGCTCCACAGCCAGGCAAGAAGGAGAAATATAGAATGAGTCCAGTGTAATAGAGAACAATGGGGATGGTCAGAAATTAGAAGTCTCATGTTTCCTAAAGCAAGTAGTGACTAGTTTTAATCTGTTTTGTCTTGTAGTATGTCAGATAGCCCCTCCCCCCTTCAAAAAGATAGAAGCATGGCCATATTTGCATAAATTTTCCCAGTTTTCAGTGATTGGCAAAGCCATTCATACAAATGAACTGTGTGATTTGTGACTTTTTTACTAAATTATTGCCTCTGACTTGGAGAATTTTATGATTGAATGTGCTGTTTTTGTGCTGTGATAGAAGCTTAATCTGAATTATAGAAATAGGCAGTTTAAAACAACCATCAAAGGGTATATACACTTGGAAAGTGTCTCGACACAGCCTGCATAAATATTGATTATGAGCTGGGTTAATTGAAAAGCCAAGGTATATTAATAGAATAATAAAGTGTATTTCTTTGTGCTCCTTTTATGTTGTATTAGAGTAAATCAGCAATATTTATCCAGTGTTAATTCTCAGTTTGCAGAGAGCTAATGTAATCATGAGACAAGCTTATTGAAATTCTTTTCTTAGACATAGAGACTTGCCCAAGAATGGTGACTATTAGGAACTTTAGTCAGCACTTGCTCAGAATAGTAAATACGAACATGTGATTTATGCCATTGTGTGTACAAAGCAATGTTTCCTGAGACTTTTTCTATATATATGTTGGCTGTTTTGTCTCAGGGGTTGGTTTGTTGTTTCCCCCTGCCTCTGATTATCAGATTTCCTCTTAAATCCTGGCGTTTGACATTGTTGCAGGGCCAGTTTGTCTGTGAATCGACAATAAAACATACTGGTGGTTTCACAATTAATCCAAACTTGGATTTATGATTTATGCGTGTTTATATGAATCCCTGCATTTGTTTTTATATCTGTATGTATAATTTCTGTATGTATATTCAGAAAGGTCTGTTGAAAAGAAAGGGACAAGAAAAGAGGGAGAAATCTATAGCCTGAATCTCGAAAAATGGGTTTATTCATCAATGACATCATATGAATTGTATTTTCTCTTAGTTAATAAACTATTTGCTTGGCAGGCGCTGTAAGCCAGCCACAGCTAGTCATGCCATTTCTTGGAAAAGATCTGAAGCAACTGGTAATTGAAATGATAATCATTTGATCATAGCTAGAGCTATTTGAAAATAGCTCTCATCTCCAGCTTTGTCAAGTCTGAGGAGCCATATTTGGTAAAAATGTTGCCAAATTCTATCTTTCCTAACGTTAACACTTATATACCTTAATAATTATATTCCAGCACATTGTAAACTTGAATTCTGTTGTGTTCTGTCCAGAAGCTGTCCCCATATGCTTTGAAACAATACCCAGGCTGAATTTTTATTCTGACATTTCATAATCACCATGTAATATTTATAAAATGCATGACAACTACAGAGCTTTTATTTCAAGAGGATGGTGTAGTGAAACTGAGTGAAATCATCAGTTGAAATGGTACTTTGTAGTAAGCTCCATTGTTTATAAAGTATTGCAGTGGGTTGTGTTTTTTCATGAGCAGCAGATAAAAACACAGTTTCCACTGTGTCTCCCATTTAGTGGAAGTTCATATTTAATCATGATAAGGGAGAGGATTCCATTACGCAAGTTTTAGTTTTCATTTTTGATAGAGTATTTGTTATTTTGCAGCAGCTTAACAAACTTTCATCAGGGAGCTGGAAGAGGAAAAGTGAAATTTTAGATTCTACCTTAAAACATTTTTTAAAAAACTCAATCTGTGGCTTATTATTGTATGAAGCTTATCTAAATAAATCCTTTTTGTTCACTTTGGAGTAGTGCATAAGGGGGGGAGAGAGTGTGTGTGTGTGTGTGTGTGTGTGTGTGTGTGGTGGAGGGAACAGTCATGCTTAACAGTAAAATTTGCCAAATCAGTTGTGAATTCTTTTGTTTAATAGCTTAGTGACATCTTCCTGTTGTTGTTTGTTAAAAATATTTCTAAGATTTTGTAAGCTTAGGGGTTTTCACAGCTAAGCTTTCTTCAGAAATGTGAAGTAAAAAAGAAATGAAAGAAGTCAATTCAAGCTGAAATGTCAAATGCTTCAAATAATTTAACTTAAAACCAGAGAGATGATCTTTTTAAGCCTTTTCTAAAGAATCTTCTGGTTGAGGGGCCCTCCTTTGTTCTGTGTATGAATATCTCTAAATATCTTGCAGGATTAATTCTGAGTAAAAAAAAAAAGTTGCTTGTTTCCTGGAAGCAATTAGAGATGCTTAAAATTAAAATTTATGATCCATAGGAGAAGCTGAAGTTTCAGTTGCTTTTCTCAGATTCAAAGGTTTCTTCTCACTCACCCTCTCCCCCAACCCCAAATGTATTAAAAGAAAAAGTCAGTTCATTTCTCAACTTACAAAGTTTTAAAGAAACATGAGAACGTGTAAGGTTCTTTCTTTCACATAACATTTCTGAAGTATTTCTTTTGGGGTTACATCACAGTTTTATTTAATTTTTAGGACAAAAGTTAAATTCAATATTTGTGTATAAGCCAAGGGAAAATGTACCATAAACATAGGAATTTGAGGGTGAGTCAGAGTTCTAAGAATCCTAGATTTACTTAGACCCTTTATATAGAGACAGGCTAACCATTACTCATCTAGTGCTCACTTTTCACATTTGCAATTAATTGCACTTAAAAAATTAGCTTTCTACCCAAGTGGCAGATAGGCAGAGAAAACTTTGGTAACTGGTACTAAAGGGGCTGTTAGAACTACTGCTCTATTTTGGGACACATAACCCATGTATCATATAAATTATTTCCTGACTGAACTGTTAACAGTGGAGGTGGGCTCCCATAAAAGAATTGAGTTATTGGAGATGTTTTCTCACTGAAAAACACATTTTCTGGTAGCATCAGGTTAAACCACCAAATGATATTTTCCATGGATTCTTTATTTATTCAATAGAATACTTGTCATTTACTTCAGACTCATAAATAATTGCTTGTTTTCTTCTTTTTCTCCCCTAAACACCTCTTGTAGGATGAAGTCATTGCCGTTTCTGAAAAGGTGATTGTGAAGCTTGAAGACCTGGTCAAGTGGGTACATTCTGATTTCTCCAAGTGGAGATGTGGCCTTCGTGCTGGGTCTGTGAAAACAGAGGTCTTGGGGCGAAATGGACAGAAGGAGGCTCTGCTGAAATACAGGCAGTCAACGCTCAACAGTGGACTCAACTTCAAAGACGTTCTCAAGGAAAAGGCTGACCTTGGTAAATATGATGTTTGTTTCTTAATCTAACTTATACACATGCAGTGATTTTTTTCCCCCAATTGATTTTTCTAAAAACTCTGTCAAGTGCACATCATTTATTTAACCTGAAATAATACATGAAGACAGATGATTGGGTGGCTGAGGGAGTGTATTGTCCTTTTTTTCTCCAGAACCTTCTGTATGTGCTGGATCTTAGATAATATAACACATGACTTCCAAGGCCAAAGGATAAGAGTTAATTATGGCACCTGAATTTGTGTTAATGATGAAATTACGTATTTAATATAAGTAGATATCAGGATATCTATCAGTAGCATGTCAGAATTTTGTATTTTATGGTAAGTGGGAAGCAGGGTGAACAAGAGAGATGAATTACTGAGTTAGAAGCAAGTGGGCACTGTCAAAGTAGGAAAACAGATTTCTCTGTGCATTTCGCATTTATTCATTATCCTCAGTTAGTTCCTAGAGAGGGACCTTGTCCTTGGGAAAACAGCCTCAGTGAAGAGAGAAAGACTCTCAGTGAGCTGGATTGACACACTGAACACAACAGTGGACCTAAGACCAGCAGAGATTGTGAGGACGGCACAGGTTCAAGAAGGGTTTCATTTCATTACATTGTTTGTGAGGTCGCTCCGAGGTGGAGCCAAAGCAGAGGTCCCTATACAACAACAACAAAAATAACAACAACTACATCTTCCACTATAAAATTTGAAGGAGATCTTGGGCTTCCAAATAGGCTTTGGTTTGTTTTCTTTTTTTGATTAAGTGTTTGAATCCTGATCCTGCCACTTACTTAGTATTGTGAGCTTGGACAAATGATTGACCCTCTAAACTTCAGTTGATGGGTCCTTGTGTCACAGTGGTTGTTAAAATGCTGAGCTGCCAACCAAAAGGTAAGACGTTAGAATCTACTAGCTGCTTCATGAGAGGAAGGTGAGGCAGTAGCTTCTGTAAAGATTTACAGCTTCAGAAGTTCAGTGGCAGCTCCTCTCTATCCTATAAAAAAGATCTGAGTTGGGATCAACTCATTGGCAACAAGTTTGGTTTGAGGTTTTTGGGGGGTTTGTTTAAAGTCATGTTTTTCTCTATGTTAAATAGAAGTACTTACAGGGTCATTGAAAGATGTTAGCTATAAAGATTCTAGTACAGTGCCTGGCAGGTAAAAAGGAGGGCTAGAATTAATGACATGAAATTTGTGCCTCCATCCCTTAACCTTTTCTGAGGGCTTTTTTGTGTGTTTTTTTTCTTGTTTTCTCTTCTTATTGACTTTCAGTGACTTACTCTTCTAGTATTGCTCAAGACTCATGTTGTTGACCTCTGATTGAGCCTAGTTATTTCCTCTTTAGGCAAAGGAAAGCTTCACTTTCAACATATTGAAGCCTCTTTTTCTTTCATTCTAGCACAATGCTGAGTTTTATAGCTCTATTTCACGCTTAATTCAACAACTTCCTGTTGTTTTTGTTTTTTTCAATTTTTTTTTTTATCTTAGAGCTTAACTATTACAACATACCTAGGCTATTTATTTTAATTGACTTAAAGAGATGGAAAAACACCCTTAACTACGTCCTTTTGCTTTTCATGTGATTCTGCTCTGTGGTGAGCTGTGTTGTGTTTTGAGACACATTAGTATTTTCTTGCTATTTCAGTTGAAAAATCAACAATTTCCTGGCAATTTTGGTAGATGTCAGTTGTTCATATTTTGGATATGACAGCCTTATGACAAGTGCACATTTAAAGAAAATTGTTGAGCAACTAATTTTACTTTTAAAGCCAAAACATCTATTTCTTTATAAGTAATCTTCCTATGTAGTCTGTTAATACCCTCCCAGTTTTGTGAAATGGCCAGTGACTAATCTTCTGACATGTGATAATTCTGAATAATGCATCTGGTGTGCTGGTTTCCTAATGTGTGATCTAAATTGTATTGCCATTGTCTTGTATTTTCCTTAACATTAAAAACCTTTCTTTTGTTTGTTTACTTTTTTCTTTTCTTTTCTTTTTTTTTATTAAGTTGTGGAATATACGGTTACTAATAAAAACTAAACAGGAAACCAACAGGGGACAAAAAGGATGTGTAGTTTGTTAAGCTTGTTGCCACCCATGTAAACAGAGTATTTATAGTAGTGTCATTTTAAACGTAAAACTGGTACTTTATTATTGAAGACAAAAACCCCCCCTCAATATCTTAATTGTTTCAAAAAGATGTAGAGAATTTAATCTTGAATTCTTTTTAAAAAAAAAATCTGTGATCAACCTTATTTTTTTTTTCAATTGATTCCACAGGAAATTGGATTATAGTGAATATTCAAAGTACTTGCAAGTGGTTTGGCCTAGAAAAAAATCTAGATTAGTGGTTTATAAATCTAGTTGCTCGTTGGATTCACCAGAAGAATTTAAAAATAATAGATATTGCTGAGTCTAGCTTCCACCAACTCTTCATACAGTTTGAGGCTGGGCCAAGATTGGGCTGATAAAAGTCTTCCCAACTGATTTCTAATTTTTTGAGGGTGGAAGCAGATCTAGGAGACGGTAAGATTTAACGGGAAGGTTTTGCTTCGTGGACAAGAAACACCACCTACTTTTATTTTTCTTTTAATGTAACATACCCCTTTAAGGATAGAATTTGGGGCCTTGCAATTCTTCTCAGTTGGTATGAGCTATGGGGAATTTGAGACAAACAGCTTTTGTAATTGGAATGCACACTGTGTTGTAATAATGTGGAAAGAGAAACAAAAACTTTCCTTAATGTAATGAGTTTCCATTATCTGCCAGATCTAAGGTTTACAAGTCTACTTTGCCAGGATTTCTATTGGGCACATAGGGGTGTCATTTGCTGTGTATGTGTTCCCACCCCAGCCACTTTCTCTTCAACATCTTCCTTTCTCGGTCTGCAGCATCACAATGTTTGTTGTCTGCACCTTTCTTTCCACACAGTGGTTTTCTTATCTCCCTTTCTCTTGGCCACACTGAAACCACCTCCAGTACCACATTGTTAATGGAAGTTCACACACTTATTAGGTTTTTCCTTCTGTAGAACTCCTCATTGTTCTACCAAAGAAAGAAGATGAACTGTGAGATTACTTAAGACCTCTCTTTTTCTAATTCTTTCTGATGGAAGTAAGTAAAGAATGGAAAGATCTCACTTTTCTGTGAATAAATAAAACTCCAGCATGGTTTTATGTGTATATTTATATTTTATATTTTATATTTATAGTTTATATTTTATTTATACACACATACACACACACACGTGTGTATAGCTGAGTCATTTCATCATGTTAAAATATCAACAGTAGCAAAGTAATTAGGTTGAATCTTAAAAGAAGGAATTTTAAAACACAAAAGCCAATTAAAGAACTCTTGCTCAGTATTTGCGTAGGATAAATTCCCTTTAATCCTCGTTTGTGTCACTTCCTGTCTCTCTCTGAATAGTATAAAAACAAGAATGTTCTCACAAATGTGTGTCTGCCAACAAATTAATACTCGGCAAAGAGAAACTCTGCCCCACATGGCAGCTTCCAATAACTGCTCTGATTCAAATCACAACAGCGGCTTTCCTTTTTCTCTCTCCTTCCCCCTTCAAGAAATACATTGGGACAATATTTATGGGTATCATGTTTGCCTTTTAAAGAAACCTCAGGAGTTTTCATTTAAGATTCTAGACGGCTGGTGACTAAAACTACACATGTAGATAGTGGAAAAACTAATAATCTTAAAAAAAAAACACTTCAGAGATGCGGTGGCATACACTCATCCCTCTCTCTCCCCTTTGTCTTTTTCAAAGAAAGTTCGTTCAACATGAAACCCATGCAAATAGCGACATGACTTGGTGAAGTGTTTTACCTTCTTTCAAACTGTTTCATTCTAAGGTTCATTAAAAAAAAAAACCAACCTGTGTTAAAATAAAAGGGTTAAGGAATGTATTATTCATAAGTATAATGAACACAAGAACCTGTTTTTCCAGAAGAATTGGGTTGATTAAATCATTCACTACACAGGCCACTAGTTATTTATTTTTGTCTTTAGAATTACAGTACTTAGCTTTTGTAATAAAGTGGAGTTGATGCCCATATTTGGCATGGCAGTTGAAAGTAGTCAAATGAATGATTTCATTTCCTAAAATCTTGAACTGCTAAGGAATAGAAACACTATCAGTTAAACATAGAAAACTTGCATTTTTTTTTTTAATTCCTTGGGCTATAGTTTTGGGGGGAAAAAACCTCCTCAAATTATTTTATATAACACTGCTTCTTACAGAGTTCCTTCAAGTGAAGTATGAAAGCTGCAATGTAAGCTTTATTGGCCTATAAATATGTCATTATAGTTGGACTACATTTATATGCTTTGGATTGTTGTTAAAGCCAAGAAAATATGTCTCTACAGGTTGACTTTTTATTGAAACCCTTTGAGGCATACAACTGAATGTATTTTAGGCCAAGGTTATTAAAACAGCATTTTCATTTTTTTGTAGCAGACTCATTGTCAATTATGCTGCCACAAACTGTCTGTCTATGGGCAGTTATGAATGGTTTCATCTCTGAATGTGTCTTTAGGAAAGAAAAAATAAACAACAAGAAAAGATAGAGGAGTCTGAGTTGAAATCGAGAAAAGAGATCAAAAGATTGTGGGTGTGGGTATGGCTGAATTTAATGATGGGGGTTCCCTTGGTTCAGTTTCTGTTTCTAAAGGCCTATCAAACTGAGAACCAGCAGCTTCCCCGTTGTTTCTGCCACTGGGACTTTCGGTGTACTTTTGGGAATAGACAGCATGGTGGTATTCAAAGAGCAGAGGAGGCATCAGGGGACTCAGCCTTGTGTAGCCCTGTGACTTACTGTTTCTACAGCTTCCAGTTTCTTGGATGTACAATGGGACCCTGGCTTTATCTCATTAGTCGTTTTAGAAGGTCAGCTGAGAGGAAGTGGGTCCATATCCATGGAGTCAATATTTATGACCTTAAAGCCTGAAGTGGTATTGCCATTAGATTATCGTCATCAGAAG